GTTTTCCAAACTTGCTGGCATATTGAGTGTAGCACCTTAACAGCATCATCTTTCAAGATTTTAAATAGTTCAACTGGAATGCCATCACCTCCACTGGCCTTGTTGTTAGCCAGGCTTTTAGGAGAACTACACAACTTTAATGCTGACAATGAAGAACCTGAAATCATGAAAGACTTTTGTATAGCTTGGTTTGATCATCAAACAAAATGGATTACAGCCAAGAAATCAGAAGACTGAGAATCAGAAGGACCATGATGAAGAAATTAGAAAAGATGATCAAGTGTAATGATGTGTCACCGAAGACCAAGACCAAGATAATTGACACTCTTGTATTTCCAGTCAGCATGTATAGGCACGAAAGCTGGACAGTGAAATAAGCTGACAAAAAAAAGGTGTGTGTGTTTGAAATAGCAAATCAAGCCTGAAGTACATCTGGATACAAAAATGATGAAAGTAAGACTATCATACTTTGGGCACATCAAAAGAAGGCAATGTTCACTGGAAAAGACAATGCTGGCAAGATTGAAAGCAGCAGGAGAAGAGGAAAGCAAGACACATTGACTCCCTAAAGGAAGCCACAGCCTTGAGTTTACAACAGCTGACTAGAGCTACTGAAGTCATTTAACAGCTTGGTTCCCCTTTCTTAAAAAGGGGAAATCTATTTTTTCCTTTCTTAAATTACAACAACTATCACATGGTGAACTGCAGCATAACATTTTTATTGAAATAAAACTAACCTTTGAAGATTTCCGTCGACTTCTTCTGGTCCAAACCACCACCAATTTATCTGGCTGCCTGTTGGAAAAAAAAAACAAAGACAACTATCAAGAATTGTTGTAATGAAAGGAAAAATTGTAGCCAATGAAACAGTATTTTAACTTGCATAGCCCTTTATACCAGGGGATCCTGGTACCCCAGGGCCACAGAGACAGATCCGAAGGAATGGGCACATACACATGTACATGCACACATGCACAGACATACACATGCCCCTGCATGCCCACACAGATGCATGAGCCCCCTGCACAGATGCACACACGGCCCCCACCACTCTCCACATACACAGATGCACAGACATCTCCCACATGCATGCACAGATGCATGCACACACATATGCATGAACAGACACATGTATGTCACCTCACACTCTCTCCAAATGCAAAGATGCACGGACATCCCCCCATGCACACACAGATGCATGTGCACACACCACATGCATGAACAGACATACACATGCCCCCCACATGCATGCACACCCCATGCACACATGGATGCCTGCCACCGCCACCCCGGGTCCTTGGGAATACGGTCTTCAACTAAACCAGTCCCTGGCGTTAAAAGGTTGGGGACCACTGCTTTATACAACAGAAAGAGCCTAGATTACATTCTCTTATAAAATTTTTTGGCCTGTTTTTCCAGTTAAAATTTAAAGACTGCAAATTCCACTTTTAAAAAATACTATTATGAATTTCACAGAATGTAGTGTAGATATAGCAGGTTAAGCTGGCATGAATCCATCAACATGTATACACAAGAAATAAATAAGGTACATGCATGGATGAATTCAGGACCAGTTGTCACTAGTATAGTTTTCTTCGGATGATATAAATTGAACAGTTCGGAAAAAAATATGAGATGCTATCAATTAATCTCCTCTTAATACATTTTAACAGTTCCAGTTGATGCAAGAGTAGCTAATCTGGGGAATGCATGGCTAGGAAACTTTCATCACATTAACAATTTTAAACTAATACCTGTATTTTCAGAAAACCTAAACAGTAATTCTTTGTAATCTTCATAATTTGGAAGGAAGCATGGCCATGCACAGTGGCCAGTCTCTCCTATGCAGAAGCATGTAACCTAATTAGGAATTACCGGGGTGGGGTGGGGATCCTGCATTATAGCCACATTGACATACCTGACCATGGTTTAGAACTGATTTGTGGAGGCATGTTCCTAACACCATGGTTAGGCAGCATTCACAACTACACTTGCTAATGTGCCCATGTGGCCCCTTATGTGAAGATTTGGCTATATGGAAAATATGGACATAATAACATGGGATGAGAAGCTACCCTATGCCAAGTCAGTCCATCGATTCGTTTTGTTCAACACATGATTTTTGCTTAAAGCATACTCAGCAGAAGAATGAAGCAGTAAATGGCACTAAGCAGACAGGGCATATATCAGTATGGCCATGTCTCCTGGACTTGCAACTGTTCAGGCGATCTCAGTCCTTTGTGCTTTTCTTTCTCCCTCTTCTTCAAAATTTCTTTTTTTGAGGGGGGGCACTTTCTCTTTTTAAATAAGGTAGAATCCTGGGAGCTTGACAGTGATTCTTTGGTCTTTAAAGTGGGGGAGATCCTTTTTACACTCAGGTTTTCTTTCAACGTTTATTCTTCTTAAAATATCACATTTTAGGGGCCTGGGAATGATACTAGGGATAAGAGGAAGACCAGACTGTGATATACATAAAATATAAGCAGAATGATAAAAAGACAAAGACAAGCAAAAATCTCAGTCATTTAGGACTCTTGGTAGGACATCAGCTTGCATTAAAGCTTCAATCAGAAACTTTAAGAGAAATAAGTTGATGAGACAATGAGAAAGCAATCATTCCATGCTTAACAGCAAACTTTTAGATTAACTAAATAAATAGAATGTTTTTCAGTTTCCACAATACTTTTAACATTCTCATTTCATTTTAGCATGGATGACAGTACAAAAATTCAAAAAACATATATCGTATGTAGGACAAATATAGCATGAATACAGTTAGATATGTGAAATTAATTGATGGGAAAACAACATTGTGCAATTCGAAATCAATATGGGCAGGGGGGCAGAAAAGTTGTACACACCTAGGTAAAGCTGTTTCCAAACTATACATCCTCCAAAACAAATTATTTTGTTCTAAAGATACCTTCATGCTCCATGTAAGATACTAATCATCTCTTTTCTCAGCAGCCAGTTTCTCCACATAAAGTTTATCCTTTTTTTAAAACCTTGTTTCAAAAATAAATAATGCTCATTCTCAGATTTTTCACAACCATATTAACAGTATAAATAAATTTTCCAAGAGTTCTGCTAACAAGGATCAATGCATAGAAAGATTTCATTTTTAAAACTATAGATCCATGAATATCTCAGCCAATGCCAGCTGAAGGATTTCTGTTGTAGTTTTTTTTTTTTTAAAGGCACTGTACCAAACTATGAGAATTATGAGATGGCTTGTATTTGAAACTAGAACTATGTAGAATACTCTCTTTCCCTTTGTTAAATGACATGATAGGGGTAAGGAGACAATGAACCAAGCAATAGATCACAGCCCATAATTTCACAGACAAATGTTAAAGCCTGAGAGCAGATCAATATTAACAACGGAATTTAAATGTTTAGAAAGAACTGACTAATACAGTAGATTAAATCTGGACAGCTGACACACAGGATAGATATTGTTGGAATCCACATCCTACCATTCCTCAAAATAAAAAAAAAGTTGGCCACTAGCTGTAACACAGGATGTTCTCTGCAGAATCAAAAGCAGGATTTAACACTCACATTTGAAAAATGTGTTTGGAAACTCTAACAAGTGTTTCAGCAAGCTGGGTTTAAACACAATCTGGGGCAACCTAAACAAATTAACATGATCTAAGCGTTTAAAAGACACTCATTTCCTCAACTACTACTATTAGTCACTTTCCTCATGAAAGTGACTAAATGCAGGGCCTGTCCCGTCATGCAGCAGGATGAAGGGACTTATGCAATACCATGAGAGGGGAGGAACAGAAATCAAGGAAAGGGGTGTTTGAATGTTGCACTGAAACTTTATCCATCTAAGTTCAGTACTGTTGCTAAATGATTGCCGGATCTCCAGGGCAGTCTTTCCAAGCTCCACCGGAAACATCACTTGATAGAACCTTTCACACACAAAGCAGGTGCTGAATCACAGCTGTAGTGACTAAGAATGTGTGCTAAATGCAGCAACTTTCCTATGAGGATACATATATTTGTGGAACAATCTACAGTGGACCCTCGACTTACAGACAGCTCGACTTACAGACTTTTCGACTTGCAGCCACCATTCCAATACGGATTAATTCCTTAAGTAGAGGGTCCACTGTATTTGTTAACTTTCATTGGCCCTTCTTCTGTGTCTGAAACAGGAACTTAACACAACTGAGGCTTTTGTTACTGCTCATCTGGCATGGGTAGACATTTTTCTGTGTGACATGCTACTTTTCCATGAAAAGAAACATGGACAAAAAAAAGCTAGCAAAACTGTTTCAAAGCAAGCTGCAACTTCATGGTTATTTAAATAAAGGCTCTCCATGTATCACAAAACAATTCTATTTCAGAGGCCTGAGATTCTGGTGTATGCAATGGTCTATGAGAGCATGGCAAGTGGAAGAAGAATACTCTGGTTCCATACCTCTTCATAGTACGAATCACAACACTGCTTGCTTAAAAAATGCACACAAACACTTTAAGTTAACCCTCATTTAGATATTATGACCTGCATGGAGTAACTAGGAAAGGCATGGTTTACAGTATATATGACAGATGAACAAAATCTATCTTTTAAATTTATTAAATAACTATTTCTTCCCATTTAGAATTCAATCCACATAAAGTGTCAGCATTCATAAGTACTGCCTAAATTGTGTTTTTTTTATGTCCTCACGTCTATAGCAAACATTACACTGGTTAACACTTTCATACTCTGACGAACATCATATATGTAAGTTTAGTGAGCACCATGAGAAGTATGAGAGTTCAAGGCTGTTCTCTATATTTCAAAGTCCCACTTGCAATTCCAAATGCAAAATTGTAACTGAGTTACTCAGTAGTGAAAGGGGGATATATATTGCATAAACATAAATGGATTTTGTTCAATGTGGTTTCCTATGTGTCACAGCTGGTGCCTGAAATGGATATCAGGGCTCAGCTCTACTAAGTTCTGGTTTAAATTAGGTCTTGCACACCACCCACCACTTATTTTGGCAAGAAAAGTGTTGGTAGGGGTCCCCAAACCACAGTCCACGGCTCTGTGCCAGTCCTTGAGCTTCCTTGAACTGTGGCCGTGGGCATATCGCACTTGTGCAGGGGCGTACAATATGCACACCCTCGAGTGTGACACGCCCACCCGCAAGCGCGGGGGTGTCCCCGTCCCCCCGTGCACGGAGCCTGCATCCTCCCAACCGGTCCGTGGTCCCAAAAAGTTTGGGGACCGCTGCCTTAAAAGAACAGGGATAATGCTATGTTTCCATTTATTGAGAATAAACTCTGGTTATTATAAAAGTCTATGCACATGTGACACTAAATGTTCACAGGAATTTTAAACCACCAGATGTTATTATGTGTTGTCAGCCTGGCAGGGAGACTTGTCTTCCCTCCTTCTGCCAGGAGCAGATAGCTGACCGGGAGCTCCAGAGTGATTGGAAGGGACAGTGGAGCCGCCACCACCGCCAGGAGACATGAGAGTGGACGGTCCGGCCCCAGGGGTCTGGACCCTCATTATGTCCAGCTGTGCAGGCGTATTCATAAGCGAATACCCCCATCTCTACTCATAACCTTTGAGTGGATTCTTTTTGCTTCTTCCCCCCTTCTTTTAATTTTATGAGATAAACTACAACATAAACATAAACTACATAAACCAAAATACAAATCATCTGTGTTCCCCACCACCCTTAAGTCGTACCAGATATTTTAGCCAATGTATAGTGCAAACAATGGTAATTTAAAAACATGATTTTCATATTTCTTTTAAAAATTGTTTAAATGCAATAGGTAGG